GGTTAGCAGTCAAGTGCTACCAGGAGCTCTGGTAACATAGTGCCTAAGGCATTTGACTGCTAACCACAAGGCTGGCTGTTCAAATCCACCAGCCACTCTATGGAAGGAAACAGGGCAATCTACTTCCGTAAAGATTTACTGCCTCAGAAACCCAATGAGGTCACTTTGAGTTGGAGTCAACTTGATGGCAATGGGTTTTATATAGATAGATAGATAAGTAGATAATTAGATAGATGGATAGATATTCACATATATATATGTATACATAAATAATATAGCAAGGATTGTGAGGCTGGAGCATGACCAGACAGTGTTTCATTCTGTTGTACATAGGGTTGCTATGAGTAGGAACCAACTCAATGGCACCTAACAACAATATAAATAATATACATATACATATATGCATACACTCACACACATATATACGTTCATTGGATTTGAGTTGATTCAATGACTCCATGTTGACTCATGGTAACTCTATGTGTTACAGTAGAACTGCTATGATAGGGCTTTCTTGGCTGTAATATTTACAGAAGCAGATTGCCAGGCCTTTCTTCTGTGGTTTCACTGGGTGGGTTTGAATGGCCAACCTTTAGGTTAGTTGCCGAGTACAAACTGTGCTGCCTAGGAATACACACACATACACACACACATGCAAATGTAATACTGATAGAATACAACCCTCTAATATCAAACCTTTAGGTTAGGTGGGTCAAGCTTTGTGTTCATGAGCCAAAAGAGATAAGAACAAAGAGGATGTGGTCAAACCAAGTTTTAACTTTCACTTGGTCCAGAAGGCAGTCTTCCTTAAGCTTTATGAGGTCAAGTTGACCCCTTAACCAGCCCCCTTTGTTCATCTGGAGGAAGCTCTGGCATGACCCTGGGTCAGAAGATGGTAAAGTAATCTAGTCCAGGCTCTAGTACCCAGGCAAATTGATGTGATACCCTGGGATGAGCTATCCTTCCCCAGATCAAGCAGAGGCCCAATGAGAGGCAGATAGACCAGCTACCAGCCAGACCACCATATCCTAGTTTCCCGCATAACTGCTGTTGCCCTGGGAAATGTAGGGGAAGAGGCCTGTACTATTACTTCTCACTGCCATTGAGTCAATTCTGACTCACAGTGATCCCAACTGGGTTTCCAAGGCTAAAAATCATTAAGGAAGCAGACTGCCCCATCTTTCTTCTGTGGAGCAGCTGGTAGGTTCAAACGTTAGTAGTTGTTAGAAGTGGTTAACCACTACACCACCAGAGCTTCTTGTACTATTACTTCCAACTTGTACCCCAACCTCACTGCCATCGAGTCAGATCTGACTCATAGTGACCCCTCCATGGGTTTCTGAGGCAGTAACACTATGGAAGTAGATTGCCAAACCTGTCTTCCAAGGAGTGGGTGGTGTGTTTGAACTGCCAGCCTTCTGATTAGCAGTCACATACCACCAGAGCTCCTAGCAACCCCCTAGCTGACAGTAAACATTCTCATACTTCATAATTACTAAAACCTTTTCCTTCTCAGACTTGTCAGAAAAAAATTCATTTAATTATCACAATAATTTCATAAAGTAGGGAATAGTTTACCTATGAGGTAACTGAAGCCCATAGAGATGAAGTGCCTTCTGAAGAGTAACAGAGGCAGTTTGTGTAGATCTGGGATTCACATTCAGGCAACTGGGATGTGATGTCATCAGTAAGGGGTGCCAACCTCCGTCCAGAGTGGGAGACGTTGGAGTGAGAACTGGACATTATTTTCCTGACTACTGCCTCTTTTCTCAGAGGTGGGTACCAGAAAGGATGTTTGTGGGAATAGGTACAGGAGGACAGAACTTTTCTGTGGTGAATACCATTTTTAGAGTGTTATCAATATCAACATCAAAAAAAGAGAGAGAGAAAAGGAAAAGAAAAAAAAAACATGGAAAACTCCCAGCTCAGTAAACTCATATACATTTATATGCTAATGCCTGGATAACTCCACATGAACCATTCATCAAAACAGTGAGCAAATCATTGTGAAACTTGGCTAGCATGTGTTGAGGAACAGCAACATCTTGTTATCCTTGGTGTCTTTTGACCTGCACCTGAACTTCAACCACAAAGGAAGAAGGCGGCTTGCATGAGGAGAGAAGGTTGTTGTTGTCAGGTACCACTCAGTTGGTTCCAACTCATAGCGTCCTTATGTACAACAAAATGAAACAACGCCTGGTCCTGCGCCCTGCTCACAATCCTTGCTATGTTTGAACCCATTGTTGCAGCCACTATGTTAATCCATCTCGATGGGGGTCTTCTCCTTTTTCACTGACACTCTACTTTACCAAGCATGATGTCCTTCTCCAGGGACTAATCCCTCCTGATGACATATCCAAAGTACATGAGACCAAGTCTCATTATCCTTGCTCCTAAGGAGCATTCTGGATATACTTGTTCCAAGACAGATTTCTTCTGGCAGTCTACAGTATATTTGATATTCTTTGCAAACACCATAATTTAAAGTCATAAATTCTTCTCTGGTCTTCCTTATTGATTGTTTAACTTTCACATGCATATGAAGAGACTGGAAATATCATGGCTTGGGTCAGATACA